CAGTTTTAAGATGGCTTTGACTATGCTTTATGCTTAATTTCTTTAAGCTTTGTCAAAAAATGTAATATATTAAATTAGCCTCATAATTTTATATCTCTATTTTAGTGTTATAAATGTTCTAGAAAGTGATTTAAAAAATTGAATAAATAACCAATTCAAATACACTATAAGACTAACCAAACATTTCGTAATTTTAATATTTTATAGTTCATTTAGGCACTAAGAAAAGTGTTAGATACTTCGTGACTTTCAAAGACCAACTTAATACGTTAACATTACAGTAAACGTTTACATTCACATAAATGGCTGATATATTAATAATTTCACCATCTTCGTCATTACTGCAAGGTAATTGATATAGCGATATTTAGCTATAGAACATTCCATAGTCAACAACGTATATTAAAATTCAAATTATCGTAACAGAATTGGAGCGGAAAAGAAAAAGCATGTTTTCTGAAGCAAGAATGTCAACTGGGATAATTCAATTTTGATTATAGGACCAAAGCTTAAATACGACTTCATTACCGGCCTCGACGATCCGCGGACAATCATCTTGACTAGGTATCATTAGCTACCAAACAATTTTACGTACGACGAAATAAAATGACCGGTTTAATATGAAATTACTTACTCTCTGATTTCGTGTGGTGTTTTTAGCTTCGTAAATTATTCGTAAAAGAAGGAGGACTCTTGAGATATAGTTTTTACTGAAAATTTGAAAGTATTAATAATATACTACCACGGAAGTATTTTTAAATGTAAACGGTTGCGACATGTAAATAATAAATTTCCATTATTTATGTTTCAGATGTTTAAATATTATAAGTCCAAAAATAGACAAAATTCCTAACCTAAACTCATATTTTGTCAAATGCCATCTTCTCCCCAATTTGTTTGATTTTAATGAATTATCGACGCGCGTATGGTACTCCTGGTCTACAAAGATTCCTTGACACCACTGAAAATCAGACCGCGTTAATGTGCTCATTTGTAGCGGTAGTAGTATTAGTGTAAAAAACAAGTTAAGTAGTTTGATGGTTATGTTCAGTGGCAGTGACAACTATATGGAAGCTCATAAAAATAAACTTTGGTGCATGAGCAATTTATTCGTCACTCGACCAGCAGCACAACCGACAATTTAATACTCAAAGTCGGCCATGGAGCGTTATTTATGCGTGCCCATTTCCATGCCGTCAGCTTAGAAATTGTTTAGGCTAGATAATAACTTTGAAGCTAAGACTATGTACTTCGTTAAATACTTAAGTGGTTGGACATGACGGCCCTGGGCGGCGTGTAGCCGGGCTTCCGTGGGAACTCGACACGTGACGTTACGAAATCACCAGCGGCGAAAATTGATTGACACTGCATTTCTATATTCTCATAATACCTCGTAGTAAGCTAGTTCTTGATTCGGCGTTAGAATATTGCTATCTTACATAAACATAATCAAGTTTTTTTCTTAACCAAAATACATGAAAACAGACTTTTGAAACTACACAGGTTTTCTTCACTTCCTAGTTAGCAAAAAAACGGTACGTGTCCCTAAATGCTAAATAAGTGCTTTAGTTACCTCATCGAATGAAAATCTCTCTTTGTAAATTTGATTATAAGAAACCAATCTAATTTATATATCTTAATATTAGAGATTAATATTATATTAACACAATGGACCATAACTTTGGAACATATATTAAGTAGCGGTAGAATATAAAAGATAGAAACAAAAACAATTTTACTAAAAGGGTGAGCTTTTTAAAGGAGCTGATTTATATGCTCGTGAACAAATATCCATTGAGATATATCAGAAAATAAAAATAAAATATTTCACGACTGCAATTGTGGCGTAGTGGTTTAAGTGGTCGCCACGCCGCTTCCTACTGCGCTGAGTGTTGTGGATCCGATGCTCACATGGGACACAACTTTGTGTGATTCACAAATTGTTGTTCTGAGTCTAGGTGTTCTTTTTGTCAATTTCATGTATGTTTGTAAAGTTCCAAGTGACACAAGATCTATATTCCTAATGCGGGAGTTGTCTTTTTGAAAAGAAAAAGAATTAAAACAAATAGATTACATATCGCAAGCTCTGTGCACGGAGCAGAAAAAAGGAGAAAGCATATTTTCTGCAAAATGAACATTTACACTTAGATTTTAAACATAAAAATTATACACCTCCTAATAATAGGAACAACAATAACCGTTACGTGATAGTAATAAATTAAGATAATAACACACATCCAAACCGAAAACGTTCAAAGAAAAATAAAAATTATATTCAAGAACCTGCACTTTTGGTAAGAAATATGAATGTTCAAACGGCGTAAAATAACACAGTGCACGTTGTAAACGGTCGAGTGCTTTTGAAATCATCCGTTCACGAGTCCTGAGCAAACACAAAGTGTCTCACGTGTCCTAATTATATAGCAGACAAAACTAACTCTGAAAATCCATTGAGTATTACCAAGTATCTGCAATGTTATAGTAAGCTCACGCTTCGCTTCAAACTGACCTTACCATTACAACGTAATACTTAAATGGTCGCTTCTTTAATCAACGAATGCAATAATTACTACGAACAGTTGACAAGCTTCTAAATAATAACTAGATGTTTTCTGTTACATTTTTTTTCTTACGAAATATTTATAGTGGTTACCACTCCGCAAAAAACTCGGTCTTAGTGTATGGAGATTGTATTAAAACCAGCTGTGGTAATTGTAAAGGAAACATTCAAATAAAGGGTTGTCGATTTGAAAAATCACTGATGATAAGATAGTTCTCACATCGACAATCGGATTGTTTGGAAGCATATGCTCGCGGCGAGTTGGCCAGCGCGGGCGCATTCATCCGCACTCCGGTGGCTTATAATTAACACGCTGCAAGTTTTATGAATCGATTAAGATCTAAGCTTTCGTCAATAGCAGCTTTCGTCGCGCCGGATTCTACTGATGCTTTATCCTTATCGATGATTAATGCGATTGAGATTTTTGCTTTAACCCTGTTATTAGATTCGAGTTAAACATGGACCGCATCCGTCATTTTACAATTGCTTACTTGTCATTGGACAATCCGATAGCATTTATAGTGTTAATAACAGGTTGAACGCGTTATGATATTTTATGTTAATTTTCTTTCATGCGATTTTGGTCAGAAATGTTATCTGTCTTAGACAATATTACAAGTATTATAATATATGTGTGTACAAATTGTGGTGCTGAAATTATTCTTTTTCTAATTAATTTTAGTAACTTTATTTTTTAAATCATGTTATATCGCGTAGGAGTAGTTAAATGTGTTTTATGGACATCTAAATTGCGTTTTACTAAAGTCTTTTACACCAAAAACCACTCGTTACGAGTACATATGATTTTGTTTAATTTATAATGTAGTTAATTTTAATTCTGTATCCAATATATTATATATTACAAAACGTACGTACGACGTAGTTAGGTACATTTAAAGACATTTTCTGCAAACAAAAAAAAAATACGTACCGTTTGGATTCTTTATGTTGAGGTGCATAATATGAAATATCATATTCCAAAAAAAAAACATTAGAAAAATTCCCGAAATCGATTGGCAATAAAAGTTTTAAGCAATTTGAAAAGCACTCATTTGTAACAGGTCAGGTTGCACCGTCTATTTATCATTCTAACCGGGCGGGTGAAGTAATTATCGCAAATAACTTAGTTGCTTCCAGTAAGGCCTCGAGGAATAAACGCTTGTATAAATCAATAGGACACTGAAGAGCGCCGACGACATGCCCTATAAATAATACATACACACACTACACTAATTATAGTGGAACAGATACCCACTAGGCATAAGTTCGCTTTATCAATTATCTTTCTTCAAGCATTATCGACTTTTGTCATAAAAACGAGTGTACAATGTCAACTTTAAATTAATCACTACAAAGTATATTTTCCATTCGTCCTACTTCCAAAATTATTTGGACAGTTCAGTCAATTTAATCGATGTGAATGTGAAATTGATATTAGAAACTCCTTTTGAAATATTACCTAAACAAAAGACAACTGGAACAACAATTTTTGTGATTGTTACTACCGTTTTTTTTTTATATTTTCAAAATCATTGATTTAATTATACGTTTAAGCAGAGGCACGTAAAAAGATATCTTTGCTGGCGTTAAGGTTATTTTCATATATCTCGGCAACAATACTTTTGCCGGGATATAGTTCTCCATGTATTTTTTTATGCCTTGGTTTAAACAAAATTGCATGATTATCGCTTATGTAGTTCATACTCTCAATGCGTAACGAAAAAAACAGACTCACTGTAACATTTATAACGTTAAACATGAATATGATATTATTCTTTGAAGAAACTAATAAGTAGACCACTATTTTCAATCGTTTAGAGCATCTAAGATCACTCGTGCCACCGAATCTATGAAATTATAACAATATTACACAAAGTTTTTAAACCACAAGAAGGAAGAAGAAACCCATTGCCTTAAACGTCAGTCTGTGAGTCTTTTTCTATCCGTTGTAAAAATTGTTTTTAAAGAACGCATAAAGGTCTTAAATTGAAATTAACAACAAGTTTAAAGCCGTTAAAAATATAACCACTAAGTTAATGCAATCAAAGATACGGTCATGCAAGCCTTATACTTTAACCAATTTCAACTCTTTTATCACCTATCATTTATGTATATGTATTGTTTACATATTCTTGGTATATATATATGAGACTAGGCCTTATACGTTCGTTAGAAGACTTCCGAACGTTAAAATCATTGTAGACCGCCTTCAATTAAAAAGTTAATTTCAATTAAAATTCCAAAAACATTCTATGATCATCGAAAAGTTGAACAGTTTTTATGATTGTATTACCTGCCTACCTATTTCACTATGAAGATTTGAGTTTACTAACATTAACAAAAAAAAATGGTATTATGAGTTATTATGTTAATTTAAATGAAACCAAACATTTGACATCATTTATACTGACAGGGAACTTATACTAGATTAATTGCTTACCAAGCAACTTAGTTACAGCACCTTGCTGTGAGAGCACATGATGCGCGATGTCATAATGCCTGAGCCCGAAGCGGGAGAGTTCCAGTAGCCTCTGTTGCGACAGCAAAGATGAGAGAGGGTGGGATGCTGCGCCTGGATACAGTGGAGTACCAGAACCGCCACCTGCGCCCCCGCCTGATGATGACGGCGATACAGGTACTGGAAGGAAATCAATTTTTAGACTTACAATATCATTCAGACAGTCAGTCAGATTCAAATTTATTATTTGTGTAATATATATGGCAATTGACAGATACGAGAGCCGAAGACGATCAAAGAAACATAAAAGATACTAGAATGTCGACCATCTCTACAGCTATATTATCGTAACTTAAATTTGAAAAATGTGTCTTGAGTCGTTAACATCGAGTGTTTCGAACAACAGCGTCAAACATAGCTTTAAATAGTAAGCATCAAAAGTATCACATTCAAATATTTCTTAAAGTAAGTTTACAATATTATCTTTATCAAGCTTACATAAGCGGCAATAATGACATAAGTTTTGTACCAAAATATCCCGTTATCAAACCTCTATCGATTTTTTTTTAAATGAGCCGATTCACTTGTGAAAGCATAATTAGTTTTAATGCATAATGGATACAACAGAAATCTTACAACTGACTGCTCGGAGCTTATATTTTTATTCTATACATTTGAATGGTCAATTTTGTCAGCAGTCTAGAATGTACTTTAATACATGGTTGCGAGTATATTACTGTACCTAACCCGATGGAGTTTGCAGGCAATTTTGTGATGTCATCCAACTTATGCTAAAGTACCCATGAATGTGTTTAAAAATAGTCGCAACCTGTGAATACGTAATCCAAAGGTTGTCTAAAGGTGTAAAGCCGTCATTCATATTAACTCTAAATAAATGTTGGTGTAAAATAGAGTTTATTTTATTCTATTGTACATTAAAAGTAGTATAGGAATATAATCTTCCACAACTCGATGTTTACAGTCATTTTTTATTGAATGCTGAAATTGCTAATAAATTAAATTGTGTTAATTTCATTTACCATTTGCGTTAATTATGAATAAATGTATAAACGAGCCTAAAGTATTTCAATGTTGCATTAACAATCGACGGAGCGGAGTAACTTAAGAGAATGAACGGGTATTACAAGCTTGGTATGTTACGATGAATCCATTAATAATACATTTTACTTAAAAGGATTAAGACGTTAAACACATAAATCATAATGTAGGTACAATTCAATAGTACGAGAAAAACTTGGGTATTTTAACGGTTTCTATATAAAAGACAGTTGGATAATAAATGCACGTTTATAACCAACAAAAAACTGTTAACTTGTATCTGTTATATTAAGTTAACGCAATTTATGTGTAGAAGAATAGCGTTATTCGGGTAACTGTTATCGGAAACGGAAACGACATGCCATTTCATTTTATTAAAATCTTTTTAATAAGTTTTAGAATATGTATGTAAGTAGGTGTAATGCCTAATTCTAGGACTAGAATAATTAGAAAATAAACACCATACTACAACGAATGTGGTATTGTTATTTATTCTATAATAACTAAAACTACCCATCTTACATGTAAAAAAGCCCAAAAAAAAATTACTCATTTTTTAATCAACCTCGTAAATTACGCTTAATCAAATGAACTCATTTTTGTGTTATAGACATGTTTTAAATACCTTCGGTTTTATGTAATATAAAGAAACGGTAGTAAAACAGTACAAAACATAGGTATTATGTTCAAGGAATACATGCTGAGCGTTTGTTCAATAATACGCGAGTGTAAAATAAATGCATGTTATGGTATTACTGCACTGCTTCGTTTCTTTGAAATAATATATTCATAATCAGAACACACAGTATTTTACCAGGTTTATCGGTTTATGAATAAATATAAAATGCTAATCAAGAGTGGAATTAATTAAACCATTAAACAGTGTTACGATTTGTGTATAGTGTTTTAGAAATGTTTCCGAAATAAAGCCATCGATACAAATAGCTCGGGTCATTTCATTTAGTTTATGGTCTGGTTCATGTAACTCATTTTTCACGTCGTGAGAGTGTTTGAAGTGCCTTGGGCAAAACATTATGTGATTCGACGTTAGCACGCCGTGCGACGCTGGTTCGCTCATTATGTCCCCGTATCATTATAATGCAAGTCAGTCTTACCAATTACCTTAATTATGGGACGCGACAAATCTAAGGAGCTGCATAAATATTCTATGTCATTCTGCAAATATTATCAGAAACTTATTCACTATTTATGTATAAACTAACGGCTTTTATCGATGGAGCTTTCATCAAACCCTTCCTCACACCTCAAATAAGAAGGTGTAAATCTAGCAATAAAATAAATAACTTTTTAATAAGATTAAGAAATACAATTTTAAAAATTAGACAGTGTAATGTAAAAATAAAATTTTATAGGCGGCAAACTGGATCCGTCAGGGGTATAAATACAAAATTTAAATGTTTCTGAAGCATAAAAGATTCGATCTCGACATGTATAGATACATGTATGTATCCACACAATTTGTCGTTAACAGCAACCAGATATGTTAAAGGCCGATCGTAACAATGCTTTCTTATGAACACATCGTAACACATTCAATTATAAATTAAGCTATTAACTTAATATACCATAATTTGTTTATCAGGTTAAGCATCGAAATTAATGCAAGTGGCATAACTTGTCCATAACTTAACACTTTTTATTGGCGAGTCAATAAGGCGATTTCGTCAACGCAAGTATTATCAAGCTTTTATACTAAAATTAAAGGAAAGTAATACTTATTAGAAGAATGATAAGAAATGTTTTGGTCAGACAAGCTAATTCTGATCGAGCTCGGGTCTCGACTACGGTGTATAATTTTTCGTGTAATCGCTTTAATAATGGTAGAAAAAAAGTGATATTATCTGCACACGGTCAATAAATTAACACCGTTTAGAGCAAAAATGTAGATTCTTAGTGTCGCTACTATTATAAATAAATTGGACTCAAACGAGTAAAGGTTTTAAAGGAGATTGTTGGTGTCGGTGAGTGCGTGTGTGTGTTTTTATTAGGGTGCGTGAGCAGTGAGGAGGCCTTATTAAAATATTTCGAGTGGAAACTGGAAGGACCACTTAGTGGTGCGCGGGAGTTTCACGCCTGAGCTGATACAACATTAAATCGACAAGATAGCTTATTTGTGCTGAGCTGAGGATTAGTGGCAATAAATCACTGATTAGAATGTATTGACTGGCGTTGACTCCGACGCGGCACACGGCCGGCCCCTCGCATTATTTATTGGCTGACAGTTTTTTTAGGCTTTTACGGCCTCATTTTATCTATTTGTTAATGTATAACGATCTAAACTAGACAGTTTGTTTATTTAATTAGTTCCGTCACTAATGCAAATTATCTAGCCACTTATCTTGTAGATAAGTGTGGTTAAACTTACTTTTCGATTATAAAATGTAAATAAAATTTTGTTACGACATGAAAAAGTCTAGTGAAAGGGGTAGAAACAGTACTAGCGTAAATATTAACCACCAACAGCCTATACTAGTCCACTGCTGGACATAGGCCTCTCCTTAGAAAGGAGGTTTTGGCCTACTATACCACGCTGGCCAGACGGGTTGGTATAGGGTTCAGGTGGGCCCCGATCTGTCGGACGCCCAATTTGGTTTTCGGGCGGGGCGTTCGACAGTCGACGCCGTGTTGCGCCTGAGGGCCGTGACCGAAGAGGCCGTGAGCTGTGGCGGCGTGCTGTTGGCGGTGTCATTAGACATCGCCAACGCATTCAATAGTCTGCCATTCAGCTGCATCAGGGAAGCACTCCACTATCATGGGGTGCCAAAGTACCTGAGGCGGCTGGTGGCAGACTATTTAGAGGAGCGTACCGTCGTGTACGAGGACCGAGAAGGTAATCTGAGGTGTCGGCCCATGTCGTGCGGTGTTCCACAGGGGTCTGTTCTTGGACCCCTCTTGTGGAACATAGGGTACGACTGGGCCCTTCGCGCCGATTTCCCCCCCGGGCTGGGTGTAATCTGTTACGCAGACGATACCCTCGTGACAGCCCGGGGGGCAAACTTCCAAGAGGCGGCGCGCCTGGCCACAGGGGGAGTCTCCCTGGTGGTCGGGCGCATTGAGGCGCTGGGCTTACGGGTGGCCCTAGATAAGACGGAGGCCCTGTTATTTCATGGGCCCCGTCGTGGTCCACCCCCTGGCGCCTCAATCGTGGTCAACTCGGTCCTCGTACCGGTTCGGGCCCAGATGAAATATCTGGGCCTGATCCTCGACGGGAGGTGGCTCTTCGACGAGCACTTCCGACAGCTTGCTCCAAAGCTGGTCGGCGCTGCGTCCGCCCTAGGGCGACTTCTGCCCAATATGGGTGGACCCAGCGTCGCGACAAGACGGCTGTACACGGGGGTTGTCCGGTCAATGGCACTGTACGGTGCACCGGTGTGGGCGGCGGCTCTGACCGCCCAGAATAGGGTACGCCTCTGGCGCCCTCAGAGGGTAATGGCGGTCAGAGCCATACGCGGTTACCGCACCGTTTCGACGGAGGTGGCGTGCGCGTTGGCCGGAACTCCCCCGTGGGATTTGGAGGCGGAAGTGCTCGCCGAGGTTTATCGGCGAGTGGCTGACTACCGGGCGGAGAGCGGATTTCGCCCTCCGCCCGAGGATGTGCGCGAGTGGCGCGAAGCCGCTCGCCGAGCCACGATGGCTCGTTGGTCGTTCCGGCTGGAGACTCCACGCGCTGGCTTCGCCGCCGTGGAGGCTCTCCAGCCGGTCATCGCCGAGTGGGCAGGGCGGCAGCACGGGACCCTTTCCTTCCGACTGACGCAGGTGCTTTCCGGGCACGGTTGCTTCGGAAGGTACCTGCACACGGTCGCTAGGAGGGAACTGAGTCCCGCCTGCCACCACTGCGACTGCAGTGAGGACTCGGCCCAGCACACGCTGGCGGTCTGCCCCGCATGGGCGGCGCAGCGCCGGGCCCTCACTGCAGTCATCGGAGTGGATCTCTCGCTACCGGCCGTAGTACGCTCCATGGCCGGTAGCGACAGTTGTTTTACCGCGGTCGCAACCTTCTGCGAGGTAGTAATCTCGCGGAAGGAGGCGGCGGAAAGGGCCCGGGAGGACGACCTCCACTCGGACCACCACAGCCTCATGCCGCCCTGAGTGTGGCCGCG